CTTAATCAAGAATTTTTAATCTGCAGAATTCTAAGCTCTGACCCTTTTTCAGTAGCAAATCGTGGTATGTCTCGAAGGGATAGAGAAGTTCGTGTAAGGGCGGTTTTTCAACACGCTAGTCTAGGATGAGATTATCTTCTCAACTTGAGAGACAGGAACTCTTAAGGCCCCGCCCTACAGAGTCTAAATCCTCGTGGGTGGGAAGAGTTCAAATTACTCTCGCTGATTCCCTATCCCGCCTAAAGTATAGAGAGGGGGCGAGTCAAACATCTGGAATAATGGGACAGTTCGATCTCCTTCGATGTAGCTAGCGTAATGTAGATCCGTTATAAGATCAGCATCGAGCTTGAATTCTGCACTATTTAATCCAATTTATGTTTCCTCATTTGGTTTGAGTTAGCCGCTCAGATGAGGTTCAATTTCAATCGCTCTCCCGAGGACAGTCTTCGTTCCTGCCCGAGAAAAGAGATGGAGGGAAGCGCGAGTGCATTTCCCCGAACAATGGCTGGTAATCAAGGCTAGGTTGGGATCAAAGCTGGGGAGTTTTCCTAATTACTGAGAATGTATTTTTCCCTTTTTTTCCTCTTTTAACCGCTACTTATGATTTTATTATAGGTATTATATCACTTTTCCCAAGTTGTCCGGTCTACCATAACGCGAGATTCGTCTGTCTGCGGAACGAATTTTCAGACATTGTGCTGGTGATTGTATACAATTATCCTTTCTATTCAAGTATCCCATCCCTGACAGCACTGTACAAGAATGCATTTCCCACGATCATGTTCTGCGGACCACACAAGGCCACGAACTACTCCGTAGAAGCTGCTCATATTCACAAAGGATACTTCTCTTACACGTGCATGTCACGTGCCATAGAGAAACATCCGGGGTACGCTGGGTATCTACTCATCAACGATGACGTAATGTTGAATTATTGGAATCTAGTTGGCATGGACCGAGAGAAAATATGGGAAGGACCTAAAGGGACAATAAGGTTTCTGAATTACAGTATACCAGCAAATTGGTACTGGTGGAATTCTACCTGGGGAATAAAAACATGCCAAAAGGCTTTCAATGAAATCTGGGCTTTACAAGAATCTACTGCGGATGAATGGTTGCCGCGAACGATTGGTAATCAAGGGAACGGTGCAAATAGAAAACTCTCGATATGGGACGTGAAAGAATCGATGGATGTTTTCAAACAAAATGGAAATGACACATTTTACTGCTTTCGTGGCCGCTCGGATGTGTTCTACATTCCTGGCAAATTTGCAGATGGATTTCAAACACTTTCTTACGTTTTCTACAAGCATAGTTCATTTCTGGAAATTGCTGTGCCAACAATGTGTCGGATGCTTGATAGAGCAGAGAATTTTGAGTATATCCCTGGGGTTTACCTGCCCGGTAGATCCGGGGAACCCCCGGTAAGAAAGGCAGAGCACTTTTGGGAAGTATATGATAAGAAGATTGCATTCATTCATCCCTTGAAGCTTAATTATAAGCACGATGGTGCTCTAAATGCGGTGCTGTTACGAAGCTGGATCAAAGAGTATAGTGACAGCCTGAGTAAATGCGATAGAAAGGAATAATAAGAGCATGGCACTTAAAGGACTGTTGTCAGCCTCAGCCATTTTCGAGGCTATCGAAATTATTGATATTGCATGGTGAAGCGAAATCTTTTACTGTAAGTTGTGCTCCTGAAATATGTTTAATTATCTTTAGTCGTTTCACGGCGATTTCCTTCGTTTCGACATGCTCCGAAAAAAATGTAATAGCCAAACTCTCGCTTGTAAACAAAAACAAAGGAGTGACTGACTAGGGCCCTTTAAGTATTATTATAAATCAAGAAAGAGAATCAAACAAATGCTATTTACAAAAAAAGTCACGCGGCGACGCCTGCGTGTGTGTTAGCTCTCCCAAGGGCCTTTCGTTTCTTTTGGTCACGTAATCAACAACATGTTATAACGAGTAGTTCTGGAGACGAGAATGTCGTCAACCATTGTCGACCCCAGAAGACGGTTCATCTAGCATGATGCTGCATACAAATTTGATTGCTCAATAGGGACTGTAGAGAGGGTATCTGACTGTCTCTCGTTCATTACGTGATCTTTGCCCTTACCACGCCCTTAATTGGAGCTCTCTCGACTATTGACTTCTCTTCTGCAGGCCAGAACAAGGACTGTGACAGCTCAGGAGGGATAGGCTCCTAGTTAGCTTTAAAGTTCTTTTTTATGGTGTAATGTCGTTGTGCTTTGTGCATCGTTAGGGAGCTTAAGCAACGACGACGACGACGCCGAGGACTACGCCTAGTAGAAAACGAATTTATATTTTACCAGCAAAATTCGCGATTGTCTAGATCTGTTCGGTGCGCCCATGGTTCTAAAAACGTGCTCAGGCTAAATATGCAATGACATCGTTCAATTCTAAATGGAAATACGAAATATTAGCCGTCGTCGTTTACGTTCAGTAGACGACGCAGAACTTGGTCATTTAACGTTGTTGTTTTGCAGAGGACGGCAAAGAAATGTGCGAAGATTTATAACGCACGTGCACAGCTATTGTTTTGCTCATTAAGCCTTTTGCTGTGTAACGTTCTCGTTGCCGTTGTCGTGGTGGTTTGCTTAAGCTCCCTATTCAAAAACCACGACGAACGGTGCGGCGATTTAATGATTGCTGCACTTGACTCTGAGCAAGAGTGGTCAGTGGGTTTGATCCCTGACTGACGTCTTGTTGTAGTCTTGGGCTAGACACTCAACTTTCACAGTGCCTTAAAGCTAGATAGTATAAATGTCATTTATTGTATGGCTAGCTCCGTGAGCGGGCAAGATGAATCAAATCCTGCGCTGTGATTGGCTACCCGAG